TCGATAATTCGACTATCACGATAATTCGAACGGTGACCCCGGACCCGAGGGGGTCGAATTATAGGCAGTTGACTGTAGCACCTTCACCTCCCTGAATTGGAATGAATTCACGAATATAGGGGAATTCCAGACTTTCTGGGCTGACAGGCAGTGGATTTTGAATCTGGGCATTACCTTCATTATAGTATTTCTTTAGCTGTATAACAGCACGTCTGAGTGCACCAAAGGCTCGTGCTGCCATCTTCTGCATAAAATAGTCATGTGGCTCAGTGTATAAAGGGATAAGAGGGGTGAGAGGTGCTACGTGAATTTTGGCATCTGTCATCGCTAAAGCTGCAAAACCGAAATTTGGACCTACAAAGAATGCATTGAGCAAGTTGCATGTTTCATCATTATTTTTAGAGTATCATTTTGCAAGTCACTTACCAGCATAGTATATGAGTATGCATGGTAGAACAGAATTTATCCGCTCATATGCATGCCTGCGTATGAGTTCCACATAGTAGAATGCACCTTGGAAATATGGATCCTTGGTACCTAGACCGAGTTCATTCTTAGCCTCAGAGATAACACAAACATTTCCCTTCTCTTGCATGTGACCATCTGTGCAAGATGAACTGTTATCAACCTCTGCAGCCATCAGTTGGATGCCATACTTTTCCAAAATCTCACGGAATACTCTTGAACGCTCTCGCTCATAATCATAAAAGCGCACCATCTTCATAGACAATTCCTGTAAGAGCATGTTGTCTTCTTGTTTTGGTTCATAGTGTTCACGGTCATGCTGAAATTGACCAAATACAGGATGTAGGAGCGCAGCAGGAAAAGAAGCATAGTCTTGTGTTGGGCGGTTGGAGTAGAAAGTTGGTGGTGTGGTACGAAGCTTCTCAGGCAGAAATTCCTTTATGTTGGCTAGCACTGCCAAGGATGACGGTGCCGTTGTAGGAAATTGTTCAAGACATTGCTTGCGCTGGGCAGGAGGATCCAAAGACAGCCCTGAGATGATAAAACATGGCATTTAGTGTGGAAACATAATAGTCTAATAAGAGCATTCTGGTAAATAACCTTACCTTCACTTGCCTTTCTTTTTTGCCCAGCTGTTATAATGAGTAAGAAAAAGGATGAACACAATTTGCTATCGTGAACAGTTTGCCAAACATTTACTCACTATATACACACTACTCTAGTCCCCAACACCCGAGTCACAAAGTCGTTACCTGGTTGAGCAGTAGCTGCTGCGAGTCTGTCCTGCAGCTTCTCCACATGCTTCAAACGCTCCTCCTTCCTATCCTCCAGCTGCTTCTTGTCGAGCCTTAGCCTTTCCACCACTCTGCCCTCCCGCTCTTCGTCCAACTCTTTCTCCTCCAACTCTTTCAGTCGCTGCCCACTTCTACTCTCCTTAAATGCCTTCAGCTCGTTCTCCGCCTTTTCCAACTGCTTCTCTGCCTTGGCCAACTCTTTTCGTACTTCTTCAACGCTTGCCATTTCTTTCTCGTTTTCGTTAGTTAGGGAGAGAAGATGTGCTGCGCACGATCTAACACCGTAATATACTAACGCTGATCAGTGGCTTAATCAATGACGTAAGTATTACGAAAATTTCACAATTGCTGCGATCGTCCATTGTATGCAGAATGACCAATGATAATTGATGCGCAGCAACGCGCATTTGTCTATTTAAGCATCATCGCAAGATTTTATTATAGAAGCAAGCACTAGTCGCTTACTTTCACAAAGCCAACCGCAACACAATAAATTTCATAAACAAAACATATCAAACAATTCTATAAATAACGCTTTGCGAAAAATGTTTCCATTCACAAACGAATTCTTCAACGGAGCATTAATCAGCTTCGTTCTTGGTTTATTGGTAAATTGGCTAATCTGTAATAGCCAACTCAATCGTACTGGCACAATACCTACGACTGGAAAGTCAATAAATTTGCGACTGATAACAAAACTGTCAGCAAAAAACACTTATTCGCCAGAGGTGGAAACGTTGTGAATTTATTTTAAACGATTATACGACGAAAGATTTAAATTGGATCCAACATTTTCATTTAACAAAATGGCGTTTGAAATTAATAATTTGCTCGACAAGCAAAAGACCATTGTCGCATATACAATAAGAAATTTTTATCTTCGAAGAACATCCCCACGGAAGAAGATCATTGACGCAATTCAACGTTGGGTTAACGAAGAAAAGGCGGGAAATGTAGTTGGAGACAGTGAAATTAAAGAATTAGACGATAGTGATAAGGTTATTGATAACAGCAATAGTATAAAAAATAATGAAATTTAAAATTTGCACCGGAGTGACCAAAGAATAGGTTATACTCATAAATGGCTTTGGGTCCGAGTATTT